GTCTTATCAAGTGATGATGTTGAAAAATAAAAGAAATGTTTTAAAAGTTTCAGATTAATTAACGATCCTACTAGTAGAAACATTGTTACAAAAGCTAGAATAACCAATCAAAAAACAAGTATAGAAAGATTCAAAAGCTTGACAAATCAAATCATGTTATAATAGCTATTCAGATCTTTAAAATACGGGTAATATTAAAAATAATTTATACTAACCAATAATTATAAAATTATATGATAAAATTTAATATTAAAATTAAAAACTGCCAATTTTAAAATCCGAATTTAATCACTATTAAGTTTAAAAACTACAAAATTATTGAGAAAAGAAAAAATACATATGTTATTCATTTTATTTCTTCGTTGAAATTACGTTCGACAAGACGCTACAATACATGTATATATATTTTTTATTCTAAAGTGTGTGAATGTGGTCTTAAACTCACGCGCAAAGCAACAAAAACACAATCAGATTATAATACATAAGCACCCAGACATATTTATATATATATATATATACACACAAAAAAAGCGACGAGACAGGAACACCTCTACAGCCCTTTATGAAAAAAGGAAACGGGGAAACCAACACCTATACACACACACAATTAAATGTGAATGCACTCTACATACACATAGACACCGATAAATACACGTACACAAATCCACAGGCAATGACCTAGACAATCAGATACCAAACCAATAAATATTTAAGACTTAAAGAATCATTAAATAAATGCTAACTCACTTATTAAATTATAACTTCAAGGAGCAAATATACAAAGATAAAAATGGTTAAAAATAATATTATATATATATATATATATATATATATATATATTTTATAAAATGGATAATATTATATATATATATATATATATATATATATATATATATATATATATATATATATATTATTTGAAAAATGGACTAAGTCCACAATTATTTTCTGTTTATTCATTATTTTTACTATAGATACAAATATTTAAGTAAATGCTCTGTTTATAATAAACAGTAAACAACACTTACCGGCCTTAATTTACGAGAAATTCCATAGAAAATATGCGCCCTCCAACAGGTATCGAACCTGTATCCTACACGGAATCATCATTAAAAACAGTTATTTGACATTGCAAACCAGACGTTTCGTTTTTAGCTAAATGGCATAGCACGGCAGTTTAAATGAAAGTTTTGTGTAGGATACAGGTTCGATTCTTGTCGGAGCGCACAATACATTCTATGAAATTTCTCGGACATTCAGGCCGGTAAATGTTGTTAATACTGTTTATTATAAACAGAGCATTTACTTAAATATTTGTATCAGAAAACATAATTTTATAAATAATAAAATATAATAACAAGGTATGCTATATTTATGGGTTAAAGTGCTCAATATCAAGTACAGATCCTATGTAAATATAAAAGTGGACATTGAAGTCAACAGGCGACAGTCTTGTATTAAACGCAATCGTAAGGCTATGTGCATTCTGTTTTTGCTCATATATATATATATATATAGTGTGTGTGTTTGTGTGTGTGTGTATGTGTAGAGAGAGAGAGAGAGAGAGAGAGAAAGATATTGTATATCGGGATATTTTTTCGGATACTAATCATTAAAAATTTGGACGACTAATGAAGAGAAAGATGAATATGGGAGCAAATGAAAATATAGATGTAAAGGGTGGAAGAAGAAGAAGAAGAAGAAGGAGGAGGAGGAGGAGGAGAGGAAGGAGGAGGAGGAGGAGAAGAAGAAGAAGAAAGATGAGGAGAGGAAGGAGGAGGAGGAGCAGAAGGAGGAGAAGAAGAAGAAGAAGGCTGAGACACGTGACATTGTTTTGAAAAACAATGGAATTTCCACTAGTTCAGCTAATTTGTAATATTAGAAAAAAAAAAAAAGTAAATGATCTGTTTAGTGCCCCATAGAAATTGCAAAAATTGGAAGGGAGATAATTATAATTATCTCCCTTGTGCTGGTGATGCCAGATGACTTTGTTATGATAATGCCAAAAGTGAAAAGACGGATTCCATGGAAGATAAGAGAACAGAATTAGATATTTCTGAAAATCTTCAAATAATTGTTACGAATAAAGAAAATCGGCTCTTATTTATGTTCCATGTTTTTCTTCATTAAGACAATAAATAAATAAATAAATAAATACACAAATAAATAAATAAAAATAAAAAAAATTAAGAAACATTGTAGAAAATAGGACCGGAAATTGTAAAATAAATTCAACAGTTCATTTGTGAACAGCAGTCACTTCCAAGTTGACTTTTTTAGGAAAAGTTCTCTGCTTATGAAATTAGTTATAATTTTAAATACAACTGACTTTAAAATTTGATTTGAATTCAGGTTTGTAAAAGTCAAATCTACAAATCGAAGTTTTAATAGAATTAGGAGAAAATAGAAAAATGTTTATGAATTGATTTTTAGCTTAAACGATACAAATATGAATTTAGACGAAATAAAAAGCCATAATGAAAAAATGCCTAAAAATTAATAAAAACAAAATGTTATTACTAAGAGGAAGGACCAAATGATGTTTTATAATCCTTTTTAGAACCTTGAATATATATATATATATATATATATATATATATATATATATATATATATGTATTACCGTCAACATTACATTTGTATGGGAAATCTTAATGATTTTTTTCGCTCAAAAATACATTTATTTAGAAATTCTTGCAAAAATCAGATAATTGTTGAATTTTCATGAAACTTTGAGAATTTTTGAAATGTTTCATTTTAGAAAATCCTAGAAATTCTGTAGAGTGAGTGGCTATGGTTAAATGGCAGTAATGTCCAACAATCAGATTTGACTAAGTGTACGATCAATAACCAGGAAAAGAAAAGACCAAGGAAAAATAATATATAAAGCAAGCAAACAATATATGCAAGCAAATTAACAGTAATAAGGCAAAACAAAAGTAATATGGCAAAAAAATTTACAAACTAACAAATGAGGTTGACATACAAGAGGAGCGAATTCGGATAAACGAACGTAGCGGTTTGAAATACAGCAAAGTATTTTGCTTATTGAGAATATTAGATTTAATGTATTAGCTTGGAATTAAAACTAAAATTAAAGCTTCAAGAAAGATTTATATTTTTTAAAAATGCATTTTAGACTTAGGTACCTAATAAAAATATACAAAAAGATATCGCATCGTTTTGATAGATATAAATTTAAAGTTATTCTAAGGGAAGTAACTCTAGAATTATTACCTCCCTTTTATCAGATTTTTTTTTTTTTTTTTTTTTAAATCGCTGGAATTTGCAATTTGATCTTTTGCCCGTTATCATCTTCGTCGTTGTTAATGGGGCGAAATATCAGTGAAAATAATAGAAATGGTTTTAATTATTTTGGGCTAGATATTAATTCTCTTTTTGAAGATATTTCGGACATCATCGATTCAGTCTATTTAAACAATGAACAAAATCTGAAAATTAACAACGGAACAATGGAGAAGAACAAGACTGAACGTTTGGGTTAAATTCAATGAAATCCGCCACGACAAAAATATCCATACATGCAAATTATGTGAATCGCTTGAATTTGATATGTTACAACTGGTAAGAAGCTGCGATATATAAAATTCAAAAATAAAATTGAAAGCAATAAGATCGTAACATAACTGAAATCGACAAGAAGTGTACTGTCATACTGAAGAGGCATGTTATCATTGGAATGCCAGAAAAGAACCAACAGGTACGACAGGTGTGAAAATTTGAAACTTAATAGTCATCATAAAAGAAAGGAAAATCAAATCGATAACATTACGAACATCGATTACAATACTTATATACAATGACGTGCAGAAGTTTTGTAATGCCCGGTTCCAACTCCTTGATTGTATGCGCCTAAGATTCAAGCAGGGTAGGGGAGGTTGCTACTCCGGTCTCGCTTATCACAACACCGATCCACATTCACATCAGCTTGTAAGACTGTCGGACCTTTTTACAACAAATTTAACAGGGGCAATTTAAATTTCAAAAAGTAAAAATTTTATTTTACTCTTTGATTGGATGGCCTCCCGATATGGATGCCCTTGGACGTCACACACTCTGCTCCCCTTCTGCATGCAACTGCTTATGTAGCTACAAAGGAGAATTCCAAGACTCACAAGAGTGACAGGAGACTGGGGAGAATTTCATACTATTGATTCCCCAAATTCATCTGCTGCGAAAATTCCTTAACTAACCGCAACAACTGTGAAGATATAGTTAAGGAATTTGAAAAAATATTCGAGAAATATATTGCCACTTGATCTCCAGCCAGAGTTAAGCACGTAGGGCCTGTGTGAAAAATCATTGACTAGATAAATAAAATGTCTTACCTCCAAATACAAATTTGCATTCATCTACTGCACTCTTGGATCGATTCGTTAAGCAAAACGTGTACAGGCCTTCGTGGATATCGAGGGTACCATAATCTGTAAAGACAAGAGAAACAATTATTAGAGGATATATTACGACGCACGCGTACACGCATGCGCGTTTGCATTATATTTCATTGGTGTTTTTCAAGTGTCGCTTTTACACTGATTGGTGGATGTCGTTTACGGACAATCAAACAATATCACAATTCGACAAACATTAAAAAAACCAAATAACCAAAAAATAACTTGGTATTATAAACTGACACATGAAAAAAAAAAAAAAAAAAAACTTTAAAAGAAAATCATTTTTATTGAAATTAACAATGTCTGTTATAATATAAATATAATATTTTCCAGGTTACGCACATCGCTATCTGTTGTGGCCTGTTTAGGGGCCAGAAAGAAAGACACGGAAGACGAAGGTAGGTTGAAAAAGTATATTGAAGATATATACAAAACAATGGTGTTAGTAAGAAGTAGATTAGCACTGCGTTTACTACTCCACTTCACTTCACACCCTGCGCTCCCGTCCGACTCTCGCAATTTGTATTTATGAGAGAAGGAAGAGTTCATTATACTGTAAGAGGGTTTAGCACAACACTATCAAAGCACATATAATATTCGATTAATCTATCTATCTATCTATCTATCTATCTATCTATCTATCTATCTATCTATCTATCTCAATCTGTTCATATCATATAAGAATAATTAAAATAAATAAAATAAAATCAAACAAATATAATAAATATGATATACATATATATATATGTGTATATGTGCGTATATATATATATATATATATATATATATATATATATATATATATATATTTAAACAAAAAAATTTATAACATAAATATGTTATAAAATCACTACAAAAATAGCCATTTTGTTTCAGCACCCCTGGTGTCTTATCAGGTGATGATGTTGAATGTAAAACATCATCACTTGATAAGACAATTTTTTTTTTAAATAATTATATCTGCTCTACTTTGTATTGAGCACTCTTTTAAGAATAGTAATTGTTGGTTATTGGAATTCATTATATACTTGTATATATATATAACACCACCCGTATACATACATGTGTCATAGCCGAAACTGTCTACATATGTTTATATATATGTATGAGTCCCGACGGACGACCAAGTATGTATATGTATATGTGTCTGCATACATCGATGTTTGCGTTAGTACGATGAATGACAAAACGACGAAATCTCCCCACCACTTCCACAATAACACCAATACACGCAATCTACATAAACCCAAATTTTTAAAACAGTAATCAGTTTGTCTGACGATCGCTAAAGCGTGAAACCCAGGTCACAAACTCATCTATCCAACCAAATATATATATATATATATATATATATATATATATATATATATATATATATATATTGTAAGCGAGAAAATAATCATGATACCTCTTGAATGGACAAAGCGATTACTAAAAGGTCTGTCTACTAAACAATGGAGTCGGGCTGCTGAATATAACATCAATCAGTTAACTGGCAAACTCAAATTTGTATTAATCATATATATATATATATATATATATATATATATATATATATATATATATATATTGGCTTTTCTCAATTATGTCTGTTTTATTAATTTTGTTTACGTTTCTGTTACCTGGAGCCATTGAACAAAGAAACCTATTAACGTCATATCGATTTCTATCACGCCAAACAGGATGGTCAATGCAAATTGTAGACATACTTTACGAGTTTGAATATAATTTAGTCGAACAAAACCTGTCGGTGAGTGATGCTGTTTTTGCAGAGAATAATTATGGAATAAGAAAATGACAGTTGTGCCCATCGTTATCAAAGCACTTGGATCAACTTCAATGTGCCTTGGAAAGAAATTGAAAAAAATGATTATTCCGAGTGAAAAAATGAAAGTATCCCCAAAACAACGTAGCTAAAAATAGTTTCGGTAGAATGAAACTTGGCAGCACTTGATTTCCAGTTGTTAAAGGGGCGAAATATCAGTGAAAATAATAATAATAATAATAATATTAATAATAATAATAATGATGATGATAATAATAATTGGTAAGAACACTACCAAGATCCGGTTACGGAGATCGAACGTGTTACACTTTTATTGAATTACATAATACACACAGACAGTACAATCAAAGCTAACCGCCCAGACATTGTTATTAGAGACAGGAAACAAAAAAAAAAGAAAGAAAATGCCTCCTTCTTGATATGGCAGCCCCTGTAGACTACAATGTATCTTTGAAGATCTTCAAAAAGCTATCAAAATACAAGGACCTTGAAATGGAAATCTCAAAAATGTGGCGCATGGGAACATCAACAATCCCTGATGTAGTTGGTGTCCTCAGATTTGTTGAAAAGATTCCAGTAGACTTATTGAAGGCCTTAAAGAAATAAAATAAATTGTTCTCACGAGTACAGCCCACACATGAGCGGGGGGAAAACTGTGCCACAATATGATTAGACATAAAAAAAAACCCAAAACAAAAAACAAAACGACAACTAAAATATTAATAAAGCAATTTGCTATGCAAAGAAGAATTACTTTTTTTCTCCCAGATAATTGGATTGCTAGGGTGGGGTTGCAATGACACTATGGAAAGTGCTATAGATTTGAGGAGACTTGCCATCACTAACTCTTCAGCAATAACCACCTGACATCAGATACATATTTGTTTTTAATCATTTCACCCCAAGCAAGGTAATAAATGCACTAAGACGCAAGGAGGTTAGTGAGTGTGAGATAATTTGTTAAAAAAATTATTAAGAAGAGAGAACAATAAAAGAATAAGAATGAAGAAAACAGAAAATAACGATTGACATTGCATTTAAATTTTTGAAGATCAAAGTTGACTGGGAAGCAAGAGGTTGGAAGCAAATTCCACAAGCGGGAGAAGAAACTGTTAGCATAGAACCTACGGTTAGATATTTCAGTTGTAAATTGATGAGACCTAACTGCCAATCTAGAACTGCGCTTAAATTCATACTTACTGAGCGTGAAAGGATATGAGAAAAAAAGAAAACATTAAGGAGTGAGAACAATAAGAGAACAGGAATTAAGAAAACAGATGATAATGAGTGAAATTGCCTTTAAATTCTGAAGGTCAAAATTGAATGAAAAAAAATAGCACTGGAAGAGAGACTCGCAAACGAGAAATGAGAGAGAAGAAATTATTAACATTGAACTTACAATTACATCGAATCCTTTGCAAGTGTAAAAACGATGAGACCCTATCGCCAAGCTATTACTGTGCTTAGATTCATAAAGATTGGGTACCAAAGATGAAAGCTCATCAGAACAATTGCCATGGGAATATTTACAGAATATGCATTAGGAAGGTACAATTATACAAGTGAGAAAGTGAGTGAAGACGAGATGCCAGGTCAGGAACAATAACGTTGCATATTCTTTCTATTTTATTACGAACCTCTAAATACATGGATGAAACACTTGACCAAATATGGCAGCAGATATACAATACATGGATGAATGGTAGTAAATGTATAAGATAGCAGCAGGCCTAGGAATTGATTCACTATAATATTTTCACAGCGGAAAACGCCAGCTCGAGAAGGCGCAATCAGGTTAGCATCAGCCATGCTGATAGATGGTAAAAAGGTGATTGGAACAGAGTAATTTTGTTTTGGATGTGTTAAAATTAACAAGCCATTCCTTGCCCCAGTTAACAATAGGTTGTAGGTTATTTTTTAGACCAACTACCCAACTGACTTATCGAAACGATCACTGTTAAGACAGGAATAGATGTGTCATCAGCATAGACTCCAGTTGAGAACTGATGACTTCAGGAAAATCGATGATGAGAATTAGGAATAACGTAGGCCTAAGGATAGATTTATAGGGGACACATGCATTGATGTATAAAGACCTAGAAGAGTGGCCGTTCAAGACAAATTACGCGATTTGATAAGCAAGATTGATTCAGTTCAAAAATTCGTCCAGAAATACCATAACCTTTCAACTTGTGAAGAAAACTACCATGCCAAACCCTGTCAAATGCCTTCGAGATATTTATAGTAACAGCTAGAGCTTCATTTTTACCTAAAAGACACTTTCAGCAATAATCGTCAAGATATCAAAAATTGTTCCCGAGAAGCGAATGACATATTGCTTATCTAAAAGAAGACACGACGATGTGAGATGCATAACCAATTCCAAATTGATTAGAGCCTCTTGTACTTTACCAAAAAGAGGTAGAAAGCTAATAAATAGATTGTTAGAACGCGCATAGGGTTCCCATCTTGGAACTAAAGGAGAGGATTTCCAACAAATAAGAAAGCAAGAAGCAGCAAGGCATTTATTGTAGAGTTTAGAGAGAAAAGAAAGAGTTTAGGAGCGTATTTCTTAAGGACTATTACAGGGATACAATGAAGTTCACTTGTTTTGAGGAGATCTGCATATCACTAAATAGAGACTCAGTTCTAAGTGGAAAGTTAGGCAAAGGATACTCCAGATGAGTCAAGAATTGAATTTAAAGAGAATTTATGAGCAAAACATTCTGTTTCAACACAAGATTTTAACACCTAAAACTGATTAAAGAGAGGAGGGATAGATAACTTATTCATATTGAACACACTATTATAGAGCAGTCAGTTGCCACGAGAACCAAATTTGGTAGGTGCTATACGTTGCCTCATTCAGCACGCTGTTCGTAGAAAATGGTCATGTGAATAGTAGATTTCTGTCTAATAGACGACTCAAAAGAAATATCAACAGACACTATAAGATAACTGAATTGACAAGAGGACAGATTTGTAATACTCAACAAGAGCCAGGTAAGGAGACAAGAAACAAATAAAAACAGCGATCTAATTCGTGAAATACCAATGTAATTGTTGTGTATGATACACCTAATTTACATAAGCGGACTACCGACCATATAAATATGGGTTGGTACCGGAAGACGGGGAAGATAGTAGAGATTAAGAAATTGAATCCAGAGACTCTGCCCGACTGCGATTTAGTCAACCCATTATGCAGGAACAGTCTTCCCAAGAATATACCAAACTAACTGTAAATATTGTGTACCTATTCTTTGTTTCAATACATTTTGTTAACGTACATTTTGTGTTGTATTATTCCATGCTTATTTAAGCTTCAACAGTAATGTTTGTTGATTTTGTTGACATAAACTAGGTACAAATAAACACAAAAAGTGAAGGATGTGATTTTTTGTTGTTTCCAATTAATTAAACAAATGACAGCTACTAACAAAAAAACAAAAACAAAACAAACAAACAAACAAAAAATAAAGAACAAATAAATAAATGGACAAATCTCTTTACAAGGTACAGACTGTGCTTGTAAGAACAATTTTTTAAGGCATGGGTTAACAGGAATCCGTTCAATGTTCCTTTAACAATCAATCCGAGTGTTCCAACTACAACTGGAATTAATGATGTCCTCATATGCTACATTTTTTAAGATTTCCACTTCAAGATTCCTGTATTTTAATAGTTTTTTTTAAAGATCTGTTTTTAGATAGTTTTTGTAGATCTTCAAAGATACACTACAATCTGCACTTTCTGTTTTTGTGGTATTTGATCAGGATATCTGGCCGATTAGCTTTGATTGTTCTTATGCAGCAAGAATAAAACCTTCAGTTTCAGCTTTTAACCCCACATTACATAACCACTGATGGGTACGGGATTTATCTACATCAGCTTGTTTCATACGGTTACCTTGCCATCTTTCTGCATTTGGTACATTGCTGTATTATTATTATTTCGATTTCTGTTATGGTCACACTACCTACCAAGTCTGCGGGGAGACCTAAAGCAGGTAGTGGTGTGTTGTTATGGCTACATTTCCTGATTTTTTTTTCTACCTCCCATAACCTCACTAGCGTTAAATGGACAAAGTGCTTTTCAGTGTGTGGGCTGAATTTATCAAGAAGATTTTCTGTATTTCTCTTAAGATTTCCACGTTTTTTTTCAATGTGTTGTTGTGTTTCTTTTTTTATCATTCCAAACGCACCTTCTATGACTGGTACTATTCTTGTTTCAATTTCCACATTTTTTCTATTTCGATTTCCAGATCTTTATACTTCGATAGTTTTTCAACATCTCTTGGTTACAGTCCGTTGAGCAAGCCATATCAATTAATAGGCAAGTTTTTTCTTTTCTGTTTTTGACAATTATGTCCGGCCTATTTGCTTCAGACTTCCGGTCTGTAAAGATGGTTTAATCCCGTAGAATTGTGATGTCTTCTACTTCCGTAACTGGTGCTGGGTGATGTTCATACCAGTGTTATCATCTTTTCCAAAGTGTTTGTACATTGTCCAGAGCAAATATTACACCACTCTATAGTGACAATTTTTATATCCATTTGGCGCAAGTACAGAACATCCTAAGATTAGAAGGTCTATGTTTTCCTAATATTTGTCACAGAACCTGCATTTTGGCTTCATACTTTTATGTATGATATTTGCCTGAAAGTTCCTAGTGCAAAAAATAAAGGCTTCTGTTTCAGCCTTTCATCCAGATGCTCATAACTATCGATGAGTGTTAACTTTATCAATATCGGTTTTATTAGCCTCGTTCTGGGTATTGGTCATGCAGAGGTTTGTCTTGCCAGCGTTGTTTCATCTGTTCAAGAGCTTTATCTTTGGCTATATTTTTGGCTGCAACAGTTGGTTCTTGGGTTCTGTTTTGGTTTTCTACAGAATTTACCAAATGTAAATCTTGCTTGTATTTAAAATCTTTTTTCATGATTAAATATTTTTTCTGTTTGTTTTCATGTTGTTTGACTAATTGTATCATACAGTCCTTTGCTGTTTCCATGTATGTTAGTAAGCCAATAGTTGTCATATATGACAATATAGTTGAATAACACTTCTTCCAAATTCTTTACGGGGTCTGTATAGACGGTCTGCATCGGCCGTTGGATGATAATTGTTAAGCTTAGAAAGAAACTTTCTTGTCTTAAAATCCATCTGTCTGATGTCATTTAGAGTCGAATTCAAGATGCTGAAACTATATTGATCCACTGGGATAGTAAGGCTATTAATGGCCATAATTCTGTTCTGAGAATTCAATTCAGTTCTTAATATCAGTCGCATCTTTCTCTAGTACTCTTTTCGCACTATTTCTTTCATTTTTTAGGGTGAATTCCCTCACTTTACACCGAGGTACTTATAAGCTTCTTCTTGCTCTAAATCTTTAATTGTTACTCCAGGATTTAATCTAATAGAGGAGGTTTGTTGTAATGATCCTCGTAAAGTTGTGGCTTTAACACATTATTATTATTATTATTATTATCATTTCCTTAAGTTTCTGTTGTATGCACATGTTCTTCTGGGTATCAACCAGAGACCTAAGGTCAGAAATGGCTTCATGACATTTTCCTCATTTTTTGTAAAAAAAAAAACAACAAAAAAAACCCCCTAAGATCATACATATTATTATTATTATTATTATTATTATAAACTTCTTTTCTTTCAATGTGCCTTGTCCTTTCAGGGCGTAGGCGATCATGGCCCTCCACGTCACTCTATCCATTGCAGCTCTGCCACCTCCCCCACCTACATTCTGTCATCCACTTGCTTAAGCCTGCCAGGTATGTCATGCGTTGTTTTCCCTTGTCACTCTTTTCATCTATTCGACCCGTGTGTATCAGGTTCTCCTTCCTCATGATGTGTCCCATAAACTTCAGCTGCCTCTTCCTGATGTTAAGTATAAGCCTCCTCTTTGTTTGTAACCTCTCTTAAACTTCATCGTTGCTCACACACTCGGTCCCTGATATCCTTATCATCCTTCTGTAGAACCACATCTCCGTCGCCTCGAGTCTCTGCTTCATCTTTGAGGAAATCCTCCAACATTCGCTGTCGTAAAAAATTGGTCAATATAAATAGTGTTTAATATTCTAATTCAAGGGACATAACTAAGCCTAGCTGGATCAAGGGAGATAAGTTTTGGAATTAATATTTACTAAGTTGATGTTTAAGCACAAAGCGAAAGCGTGAAAATGGTAGTGGCAAGATTATGTTGCGCCTATGACGTAGGAAAAGGCCTGCCTATTGAGAAAACCAAAATTTAGAGTTCTGGAATTGTTTTCCCTCGATTTTCTCATTTATATTTATTGAATATATATTACGTATATTTACTTAACTATACTTCGATACTAAATTTAGCCTTTCTTTATGCATAGAGTCGAGAGAAAACAGATTTGGAGTCGAGGCTGTCATGTTAAAGTAAAGGAGCGCTCAACTAAACAAAAGAATGATGTACTAAAGTAACATAATGAGAGGATTTGAGCTACAAATCGATTTGTCAAAATGCAAATAATCGTTATACAACTGAATCTTAAAATATGAAAAACCAAAATAATGTTTCTATCGATGTTTTGTTATATTATATTCTGTTTTCTGTGTTTAAAATATATTTTTATTTTAATAATTGTAAATTTTATATCAAAATAAATCGTTTTTGTCAATTTAAAGTAAATATGAGCAACGAAAATATAATTTTTTTAAGGTGATAAATACGTAACCCTGCACAAACGCACGCACGCACGCACGCGCGCACACACAGACACACACACACACACACACACACACACACACATATATATATATATATGTATGAGTAATGTTCAGTGATCAGCCAGTTGGTTAAAAAATTCTCAATAGTTATATATATATATATATATATATATATATATATATATATATATATATATATAACTATATATATATATAACTATATATAGACTCAAAAATTCGCTTGAGGATGAAATGGAACAAATGTCTTTAATTTAATCACAAAATTAAATTCGTGGCTTTTAGCTTCCATTTTGAAACATGGTTAGAACTGTGTAGCGGAAAAAAACACATTTTAAATCAATTAATTTATAATACATACATATATATATATATATATATATATATATATATGAACTCCAATCTTACTATACAGATTAACATATTACTGACTGGTATCATTAGGCAATATTCGATCCCAGATAATAAAAGTTGTTACCCTCTCGATTCACTTGTTATAATATTAATCACAGTTTCAATCATATCTATCTATCTATCTATCTATCTATCTATCTATCTATCTAAGTCTTTTCCAAGTTCTTTTGTTTAAGGTTAATGCTTATATATGGCCGGTTTCCTTCCCCAACTTACCTAAATCTTCCAGTGACCTATATATGTAGCACTTGGTAAGATCACACTGAGGCGGCAAACTAACAGTTACTGTGCAATAAATTTGTTTCAAACATAATCCCATATCTGGGCCTATATTTTTTCTCTGATTTTGAAAACGAGAAGCTTAATTAGTACAACCACCCCCAAAAAAAAACAAAACAAAAAACAACAACAAAAAACATAATTATTATTGTAAGAGTATAATAGTAAAATATACTAGACAACAATTCATAATTGGGGAAGAATTGAGGATGGCAAGGGTCCCTAGAGATTAAATATAACTTGGCATTCGCAAAATTATTTTCAACGGCTTTTTAAAACAGAGTTATCTCCCCTTGTAGCAATTTTTCAATAACGCTTTTCTCCGCTTCTACGATTCTTTTGACGTTCATTTTGTTTCTGAGAATAATAATAAAATAAAATCTGCATTTTTCCTATACCCCTCCCACCCCGCTTTCACATATTCACGGAAAATTTTTTAGAATTTTTTAATTTCTCATTTACTCCAGTTCGTCCACTTCCAACATTTTTCATTCTTAGGCACCTTCACGTGGAGTAATGGTCAACAGGTTCGATTTGTAATAGTTAATTCTATCCCCATTGGACGCTCCATACTTGTGACCTTTTGTCAATATAAGCGTTGTAAATAACGACAATTCTCATTCCATTTCTGATCAAATATATTTTGTCTATTCAACTATTAGTAAAATCATTTCGTGCAGTGACTTAAATCCTCACTGTGTGCTCAAGATCTCAGCCCGAGTTTTCTGGGCGTCGTTTACGCCGTGAATTTTATTTTCACTATCCGATCGATTATAATGATGCTGTATCGACTCCTTTTCATCCTTTCTTCCTTCTTTATACACCCTTTACTATCTACATTCAATTCCTTCTTTTTCTTCCTTTTTTTTTGCTTCATCTTTCCTTCTTTTATTTTGCCTTTCCCTCTTCCTTTTCACTTCTACCTTTTTCCTTCCTTGTTTTTTTTTTTTTTAATCCAACGTTGCTTTCCTCCGTTCTTATTTTCCTTTGCCTTAATAATCTCACCAAAAGATCGGGAAACCTACAGAAAACAAGAGTTTTTTTTAGTCTTTATCTACCACCTCAATTAAGACTCTGCCCTTCGGCATAGCCTCGTCTGGGTTCCTTTCCGCACGGAGGAAGAGAGTTAGACAAGAGAACAAGAGGAAGAGAAAAGCCTCCCCAGTTCTCTGTTCGATCAGCTTTTCAAAATTACATATAATAATAGGATACAAAAGCTCGCCCTTTATCCGGCCCACATTCCTTCCATGTTTATGTTCTTCTTCTTTTTGTTGTTGTTGTTTTCTTCTTCTTCTTCTTCTTCTTCTTCTTCTTCTTCTTCTTCTTCTTCTTCTTCTTCTTCTTCTTCTATGGCTATAATAATTTGTCTTAACTTTTTGATATTCAGTTGCTGCAACTTTCCCTTATGAGGGTGCATCGGGCTGGCAGTTTGCTGGCTGCTGCTTTTGACTGGTAGTAAAGCGTCTGAACTCTTTGGTGGCGCTTAGATAGGCTGTTCTGCTCAACTGATAGGTGGCTCTACTTTTATTTCCCGTGGGCAACCTTGAGGTCACATGTTGGTCGGGTCTCAGACCCGACCAACAATTCTAGTCAGGATTGTCACTGACAACAAATTGTGATAATTTCTACTGTCCTCTTGATTACTCTTCTTTTTTTGTCGCTAATTAGTAAAATTTCTTATTATTTCACAGACAAGTAACTCCTTGTGTCTTAGTGGCTTTACTGTCTTGTTTGGGGTAAAACGAATGAAAAAAAATATTCTGATAGTTCTTTAAATACTGATTTTGGAAAGTGCATGAGGGATTTTTCAGCAGCACAAATACAATCATATCATCCATGCAGACATTGTACAACATCCACCAGCGTCGTTTGCATTTAGAAATTCATTTAGCAGAAATCTAGCAGGATGGAAGCAACGTAGGTAACCAGGTCACATTATTTTTGTATACGTGTGATTTAAACGATGAAAAAATGTATCCGATGATGCAACCAAGAGAAGCATCAGCGTAGGCGGAAACAAGCGAGTCACCCTTTCGTGTGGTCGGAAGTGATCAAACGAAATTGGTCGGTTAACTGAAGAAGAAAGTCTATTCCTTATGCAAACTTTTATTCTCTCCCCGAATAATATTTCGTATAAAGTGAAAACTCGAAAACCTAAAATTATAGGTGTCCGTGTTTTAGTCGAGCAAAAAAGATCATACACACACACACACATATATATGATTGTCACTTCTTTGCAGAATAATAGAATCTCTTCAATTGTTAGCTTTTGTTGTTTTTTTCATTCAGAATTTTATTATTTCCATCATTTATACTCGAGACAACGCTCTGCTATGGTCCCGTAATTGATAAGGTCAGCTTTGACAATCTCTCTTACACACGTGGCAAACATAAAGTTTGCTTGTGTTTTCTTTGTTGGAATATTGCCTGGAGCTGTGTATTTCTCATTTGATGTTTGAGGCCCGCAACAAACTTTACAAAACTTGTCACAAAATTTGTACAAATGACCTGCAGGTTTTTATCGTAGGGCTGCATGTACATGAGTTTGCACCTGACTCCTCTAGTATGACCGCACATGACTGGATAATTCAGCCGTCGTGGAGAGGGTGACTTTTCCACAAATATTGCACGTGCGTTAGTGTCGTAATGGCTCTGGGACGGATTCTATTTCTCCCATCCTAATGGCACACTTTTTGTTGTAATGCTCAATTCTCTTATTCTTAAAACTGCTGCAGCGTCCAGTCCATTACATTAGAGCAAATTGTTGCAAAACATTAACCCGAAAACTCCAGTCATGTTCTTAAATAGCCTCTTCAAGACTTTTCAAACACGTGCAGAAATATCTAAACTGTCACTTCTATACAACCACTTTCTAAGATCAATGCTTAAAAATGTCTTGGAGCGTGTGAAGCATGTAGGTTGCAGCGACGGCCATCTTTTCCTCGAACCTCGATTATTATTATTATTATTATTATTATTATTATTTCCTTGGATTTCTATTGTATACACATTTCCTTCAGGGTCCCAATCAGAGACCTTCTTTAAACCACATGGACTGCTACAGAATCACAGAGCAGTTTGTACGAAATAACAGAAACAAAATTACTTTTATTTTTTTTAAGCATTTCACCCCTAGCAAGGCGGGAAGCCACTAGGACGCAAGGGGGTATAGAAAATTTAGAGCAAGATCAGATAGGAGTGATAGAAGAAAGGATGAGGGTAATGGATAGATCAAGGCAACTTGCCGACTTTCAACAAAAGCAACAATTAATATCGATATCACATGTAACTCGAAGTGAAAATAATTTTCTGAAAAATTGTTTTAAGGGAAAGAAAAATTTTATACATTTTCACCGACACCAGTACTGGCTGCTTGTTCAGTAAATGCCAAAAGTTTCTTTCGAGGTAAACGCGGCTAATATTACCATTAACAGTACCATTACCATTTCTCTTCTCCACATTTGGGAAAGCATCGACTGGTTTGACTTCCCTTTTTTTATTCTTCAAAAATTGACGAAGTGAATTGACGTCAAATAAATCAGTTTTGGACTTATCAGAATAAAGATTATACCAGTATAGTATACCAGTTTGTTTGCATAACTATTTCTTAGAAAACTTTAGACGCGCTTTTACGCGTGATTTCTTAAGAAACCGTACTTTTCATGTTCTACAAGATCGTCAGATCGGAATGTGTTAATGGCAATTGGAGATGTAACTTGTTCCTGGTGCTCTTAGAGATCTTTTACCAACTCTGCAAGTAGTCGTTGGTAGATTTTTTTTTACCATTCATATAATTCTGCTTGCAGAATAGCTGGAAATCTTTTACCGGGTCGAAGACAGTTCATTTTCGAGCCATATTCCTTCTACTTGTACAAAATCGAACCAACCATGCGTTGATGAAGTTGTAGCTCTTTACTAATAGTACTGAAACCTTTACACTAAACACTAAGTCCTTTATCTCTGAGGTTTGTAAAAAAGTTCTTCAGGTTTCGCCATTACGGTTAATAACACGACGACGGTTAGCGGTCAATTGATATACGGTACCGTTATATGTTAACAACCATTTAGAGCATTTAGAATAACCCACAGCTGTTTAGAATCAACCAGATAGTAATTTACATTTTCCAACCTTATTGGTTTATTCGAAGGAAGTAAACCTATAGAAAAGCGATATTTTTTTATAATTTTATGTGAATGGATTTATTTTTAAATTTTATTTTATTTATTTTTAAACTGATGCATTGTGTAATTGTGATATAAATGCAAGATGTGAAGTCAAATAATGAATACGTTTTCTGACCTGATTTAATCCTTATTTAACTAATCTGGTTAGAATCGGAACTTAACTAATCTGGTTAAAATTGGAATTTACATCCTTGTGCAAATTAATTGAAACAAAACGAATACCGTTATTATTTACTTTTCATTTCGTATTTTTTTCCGATGACTCAGTGCATATGTATGTCCATTCCACGAAGTCGTTCCTTGCAGATTGATCACAGATTCTTGATTGGATTTAAATCAGGAGAGTTTCCGGACCAATCTATAGTTTTGCTCACTGGTAAGGCTTGCCAGTGTATTCGTGGAGCGTTACAATTTTCGTACGCTTCCTTGGAGTAACGTCCATCGCAGACAATGGCCTTAGGACAACTAGTCGACAGTTGAGACAGTAGTGTCAGTAGTGTCTGATGCAATCACGGATGACGCAATATTTTTCAAGTACAAACAAATTTCAACATATACCTCGAAAATAGACTCATATTACTGCACAGCACTGTAGATGACCTAACCTGAGGAAAAAAAAATAGAAATCAATTATATCCTGTCACTCCAATCCGACCGTATGGTGAAAGAAAGGAAACTAAAGAGTTTGTTTCAATTTTCAAAAGGGTGTAAATGCTAGTTGTGAAGTGAAATAATGAATGCGTTTTCTGGCCTGATTTAATCCTTATTTTGTGTATCTATCGATGTAAGCTGCTAATCAGCGCTTGTGTATTTGTTTATTTGAACAACTCTATCTCTTCTTGTCTGACCTCCTGTCTTCTTAAACACGTCTGCTATCATTTATCATACAAATGGCTTCATTCAAATTCTTTGTAAAAAGCATTCAGAAAGTCTAAACAAGGAATATGTGACTCCTTCAATTTCTGGCATTGATCAAAAGATACGCTCAATTGATGTCGCTTTGGATTTTCAGCTCGTTTGAAGAAAATCAAAACATCCTCTTTTCAACTGGAATCATCCTTAACACAATCACTGGAACATTAGGTTTCAAACTGCTGCCGAGTCAATGCAGTTGTTCCAATCGTTGATTGATAAGAATGAATAGAGTTGTTTGACATTCATTTTCTTTATTTCGAGCAAACGAAAGGCTTCAAAAATTATTTTTATGTACATGGACTTTCTTTTTCGTTATTCAAATAAAATATAATACGGCCTATTATGAAGTGAAACTATTTATATTCGCTAGAGTTCATAAATTCTGGATCAATGTGCTGGCTATCTACCGAGAAACAAATGCATAATAGCTTTGGAGATTAGCGGACTAAACTATGCGCTATATATATATATATATATATATATATATATATATATAAAAACGTTCAGTAATAAATCCATAAACTAATTATGAAAAAGCATTTATTTTACATAATTCAGACAATCTATCTATCTATCTATCTATCTATCTATCTATCTATCTATCTATCTATCTATTTGAAATAATCTAATGATTTTCTCTGCCATGTCTTTGCTCTTATGGGATATAGATGGGGCAATATGGATGAGTGCCAATAAATGGCTCGGGCTGGTCAAAGATGAGCGAAGTGATTGATGGGTCAATATTGGAAACAGTCCAAAATAGCAGTGACCAAATGATGTGTGCTGAGATAAGCAAGAAGACAATAACAGTTATTTTTAATTAAAAATCAAGAGTCGCCAAGCTATTCAGCCAGACGATGTTGAGTTATTTAACGGGAATTTGTCAGAAATCAAATACTGTCATGTTAACCATGAAATAAAATGGCGGATAACAAAAGGTGAGAGACTGTATTAATCGAAAGAGATGCATTCTGGGTAGTTTTATCAGGGGCGAAGGTAGGGTAAGCATGAGTATATATTTGAATGAGCCTACAGAATTTGGATACGTATATATAAATATAGAAAAATTTGGAAAAGGATAGATGTCTACATATGTAGTTATAATGATATAGATAGCCTTATATATATATATATATATATATATATATATATATTCATGAATTATTCATACAAAAAACAAATACAAAGGTTAATGATTTAATTGGCGAGAAATCCATCGTCGCAAACAATTCAAATAATATACAAAAACCCCGAACCTGTTTATGAATGAAAAGATCCTTGTTTCTATAAATTTCTGTTGCATGAGTTCTTTTTATTTTTACAAGCTTTCGTCTGTTCCTACAGACATCATCAGGTATGGAATAGATTTTGTTCTTTGTTTTGGAACGCTAAAGACGTGTCTCTCAGAGTAAAGATCGACATATACTAATCAGTCGTTCTCTCAATCCTTCTCTATGAAACTTGGACCCTGTTCCGCAAGCACATAAATTAATTGGACGCCTTTCATATGCGCTTGTCTTCGTGCCATATGTGATATAAAATGGGATGACAGGGTCAAGAATAATGCAATACTGAAGAAATGTAACAACATCACAGGCATTGAAACCATTCTAGCAAAGATACGACTTAGGTGGGTTGGTCATTTTGTGAGAATAGATTAGTATAGGTTTCCCAAAAAAGGTGCTGTATAGACAACTAGCAAACTCCAAGCGTTGAGTAGGACGTCCACTCTAAGGCTACAAAGACAAATTGAAAGGCTTGAAACGTCTTAACTTTGATCTGAAAACCTATTTATCCGAGATAGAGGGTATGCAAATATAAATATAAAAGGGAACATCGAAGTCAACACTCAGAGGAGACAGGCTGTTCCATGCTAGACGCAATCATCAGGCATGAAACAGCCTGTCGCCTCTGAGTATTCAAGCGTCTGTTGTAGTTGGTATCCTTGCAAGAATGTCAAACCGAACCTTTTCTTTTATCCACGGGGTAGCTTTTTCTTATACCACTGGGCATGCTAAAGGTAGATAACTCATATCATTCAATTCTTACCCCTGAATTCGTACTTGTGATGTTGCTAGTCCTTTTTGTTGAACCCGAGTATATATGATATTTTCGTAGGATTTCACCAAGGGATTGAACTCTCGAACAGACAGACAGATAGATAGATAGATAGATAAAAAAATAGACAGATAGATATGAACAGACTGAGATATAATTAATGTAGAGAAACTTCGCACACACACACACACACACATATATATATAGATAGATAGATGGCTAGATAGATATGATTATTCTGTCATCCATTTACACAAAGCCCATTTACTAGGTTACTCGCCTCCTCCTCTTTTCACCAATATGTCCTGTGGGTGTTAAATTCTCTTTCCTCATAATGTGTCCCAAACATTTTTGCTGTCTCTTTCTATTCTCCCTTAAGATTTCCTCGTTGCTCCCATATTCTGTCCATAGTATCCTCAGCATTCATCGATAAAACAATAACTCTGTTGCAATGTGTCTACTTCTTTACGGAAATTCATAGACAATTCGGAGATTAGTCGTTGAACATTGTTATACATTTGTTTCTAACGAACTTTTCATGTTTCATAAGATTTTGTTTAGTATTTGGAAGATATCATTCGAGGTTCCAATCTTCTTTTGGATTTGTATGGCATTTTCCGTTGTCTTTTTCTATTCTATCTAACCGCATCACGAAAGTGTCATCCACCAATACAAATTGTCTTACATAGTTACCAGTTACAAGATTTTGTTTTACTAAATCCTGACGTTTTTATTATACGTTTGTTTATTATACTGACAACACCCAGTTCTTGATAATGACTGAGATAGTTGAAAGTACGTGAACCCAACAGAAGAAAATGAACTTTGTCAGTTTATTGACAATTTTAATCTCTAAATTTTATTCGGAAATTGGAAAAATATAATAAAACATTCAATGGACAGACGTTGTGGGTTGAATTTAACAAAACTTTTTTTGGATGAAGTACTACTGTTTAAATACACTTTACACATATATACATACACACGAATACACACAAACACAAACACACACATATATATATATATATATATTGCGTTTCTTTTCGCACAAACGCCATGAGAAAAGTTATGAATCAACTATAGGAAAATAGGTAGACGAGGCACTCTAGCCTTGTGTGGCAACTAGTTTAAGTGAAAACCGTGGAGAAAGCAACGGAAATATTCCACAGTGATTTTCAAAAAACCTGAAAATAATTCACATAATAACTAAAAGGAAGATGTGGAGGAACGTATTTGTTGAAGAGACGTAGCATTATAACAATCAAGATCGGGATAGAAATAAATACATAAGTATTTGAATTAATATATACTGACCAATATGTCTATATATAAACTGACAGACACATGAGCAGCTTCTTACAGACAAAAGGACATTTAAATCAATTCATTCAAACTGATGGTAAAAAAAAATATTGGATTATTTTGGGGCATTATTTGTCTTAAAATAGAATATCGTTGAAAATTAAATAAAGGATACATTCACAATGTGAGGTCAGCTTAAAAAAAGAGTCATAGTGAGTGTCTATGTGTGTCTGAGAGAGAGAGAGAGAGAGAGAGAGAGAGAGAGAGAGAGAGAGAGAGAGAGAGGTGAAAGATCCGATAGTAAAAACAGAAAGAAAATTGGAAAATAACAAATAAACAAAAAAAAAAAAAAAAAAAAGATATGCAAATGGAGACACGTCGGCAGAATGGCGTTAACAAAATTTACGTTGCCGAAGCCTTCTATTGACGAACAGTTAGTGAAGCAAGAATTTTATCAATGAAAAGAGAAAAGCATTCAATAGACTTGCTTAAGGCTTCCTTAGGCGTCGAACTATTTCTCAAGTTCTTTCTTATTTCCTTCAATTAAATGATATGGAAGAAAGGCATTCAATTTTCCCAAACCCTTTCCGATTTTGCCAAACAGGATTTTCTTGTTTGTTTTGTTGTCTTCATTTTTAGCGTCTTTCGTTTTTCCATCTTTTGTTATTATATGATCCTTTCTTTCGATTTTGATTCTTTTAGCTAATTTTCTTTTCGTTTTTCATTTATTTACTCATTTTCCTTGCTTTCTTTCTTTCATTTTATTTTTTTCTTGTTTCTATTCTTTTCCTCTCGTTTTTATTTTCTCATTCCGATTTCTTTGTCTTTTTTTCAGTCATTTTCTTTTTTGTTTCTTTCACATTTTTCTTCTTTGTTAATTTATGTCTTGTTTGTTTCTTTCTTTCTCATTTTAAAATACTTTTCATTCATTTTTCATTTCCATAATTTTTTTTATATTATCTTTTCTTTCTGCCCTATTTTGCTGAATTCTTTTCTTTTCTTAATCTTCTCATGGCATCTTTTTCAAAGACTTTATCTAAACATCTTTTCAGTTACTTTGGTCGCCTCTTCAACTTAAATTCCTTGATAAAAACACGACAAAAAGAATTTCCTCTTTTTATTCCCTTCTACAAATAACAGAAAAGCGAACAGTAGCAACGGTTCCCCGTCAATTGTTGAAAAGGACACCTTCAGGGATTCCCTACAGGGACACTACAGGGATTCCCTAATCACCGTCATTCTATTATGGCAGCACGAGAGGTTTTCTTGGTAGTTTTGTATTTACCCTCGTACAATACTAACTGCTCAAGGCTTTTCTTATCCTAACTTTAAATCCTTCTTTGTTTCAAGGTTTGCTTGTTGTATTGGACATCAATCGAACATTTGAAACCTGGACGTTCAGATGATGAAAGAGTCAGCAACCTACTTTGCTAAGAATTCATATGGCACCATTTTATATTTATGGATTGTACAAACAAGCCTCATCTACCGGCATTTAAGAAAGTCAGAAACTCTTAAATTTGACAAAATCTGTTCAGTCATCAAGCTTTGCCATCAAGTATATTTCAAAAATCTTGACATTGGATTGTGTTTTACAAGTGCAGATACAATTCTCTATCGGAGCTTGATTTTTCGATAAAAATGGAGTGATCTGATAGTGAAACTTCTTTAGGGCTTTTGGGCATTAGGATATTAATGAAAAATATAGGAATAGCCTAGAGAGGAACCGTTTGGTCGGTTCAACTCATTGATGAACTAAACATTTATGACTATTCATACAGATTATTAGAAAATGACGTTTTCCAGTACAAGACTGACCATATCGGCAACGGTGTTATTTAATTTATTACTTAATTGTTCAAAATTTACCGACATCTTACAACACTTGCTAAATTTTTTTCCATATCTGACTGTAAATGAATTGCATGCCTTTGTGCTTAGGTTTGTGTTTATAGCTTTTGAATTCGAGTCAAACAATTGGTTATATATATATATATATATATATATATATATGAAGAAATATAGTCTTAAGGTATGCTGTATTTGTGGGATAAAGTGCTCAATATCAGAGATAGAGCGTGTGTAAATATAAAGGTGAACATTGAAGTCAACACTTACAGGCGACAGGCTGTTTCATGCTAGACGCAATCGTCAGGCCCCGACTGTATATATATATATATATATATATATATATATATATATATATATATATATATATATATATACGCTCAGACGATCGGTTTCAGTCATAAATCAATCGTCTCATTTGGGCTTATCCCATAATTAATAGTTAGCACACATAGAATAAGCTAAGGAAATACGTTTTCATAAAAAGTTACACGCAAAATTATTGGATACATAAAGATTGTAAAAGTGTTTTAAGAAAACATAAATTCTAAGTTGGCTACAAAACTAAAATTAAAGTTGCGTATAATAAATGTGGAGGTTATTATAGATCTAAGCAGAAATAAGGAATGTTTTTGTCTATGCATAAATTTATTGGTAAATTGAACAAAAAGGTACAAAGCAGAAGTATTGGACACACATCAATAAATTGAATTCAACATGTAATACTATAAACCTTCATTTGATATGACGGCTCTCAAACGTTTAGAATAATTTGAAATAAGTTTCTCGAGAGAATTAGACCTTACAGAGAATTAAATTATGTATATATACATACATACACACACACACACGCATATATATATATATATATATATATATATATATATATATATATATATATATAGGATCCCAGCCATAATCTCTAAACCGTCTCAGGATTGCTTCATGGCAAAAAAACCTCTAAAGTAAGCAAAGGTTGGTATCTTTTTTCAGCCTTGATTGTATTTCAGCTCTATTCTAGTCTGGTGGATTCACTTCTAAAAAAGCTGAATTTTTCGGGCCACAGCCGTTGAAATTGATGAGAGAGTCCAATACGGCCCTACTCAAAATACCTAACATAAAACCTTTTAAAGATTCTTAAAAGCATAATTTCTAAGATGGCTACAAACCTAGAAAATGATGTGAATATATTAAATACTTAGTGCATTATATAAATAAGCAGGAATAATGATTTTTTGTCTATACACAAATCTATTGGTAATTTAACCAAAATGTACAAAGCAAAATTATTGGACGCACATCAATAAACTACATTCAACAGTATTATGCCTCATCATTTGATATGACAGCGATCCGATGTTTAGAATAATATGAAATAACTTTCTCAGAAATTTGATCCAATTTTATTTGTACTCCTGCTTAAAATTGTGCAAGTTATATTTATTCTGTTGACGGATATTCATTTTAAACCCCTATAGACAAAAATGAATTTCGATTTAATGAATTAATTTTAAACTTCTTCTACAGATTTTCTACGGAATTTAGATGAGGTAAGTGACTTGGATACTTTCTCATTTTCACGGCACTCTGTATCAAATCATTATCTTGCTAAAACAGTTTTGTTAGTTCAAGAGATTTTACAAACTGAATCAAGTTCTTCCCCAATTCTTTTTCTTGGAAAAAATGGAAAATAAAATAAATGAAAAAAATAACAATAAAAATATATATAAAAAAAACATTTATTAAAAATCTATATTTTTCAGTGAAAAGGCATTTTTTAAAAAATGCAGGAATACGAGTTGGATACAGGAAATGTTCTTTAAAACAAAATATTAATAAAATGACAACAGGTATTTTGTCTCTTTCCCTTTTCCCCACTTTATTCTCACCTCATATCATATACGGTATTCTATATTTATCGGACAAAGTGCGCAATATAAGTATAAATATAAAATAAATTGCGTTTAAGTATGAAACTGACTGTCTCCTCAATGTCCATATATATATATATATATATATATATATATATATATATATATATATATATATATATATATATATAAAAGGAAGAGGTTATAGTAGTTCGAACGAGGGAAAAGTGTGTATATTAAAAAGAAGAGAAAAACCACAAACGTTTTTGGTTGTAATGTAGATTTTTTTTCTTTATTTTTTCATAATTTTGCGACACGGGTTTCCGTTCTCGCGAACTTCATCAGGCAAAGCGTAGAGATTTACACCTATTATTAAAAATAATTTTTTTCTTATGTTTTTCGATGTTAAATATTCTCGATATGAGACATTCTCATTTTTGTGTGTTAGTGACCCAAATGTCTTTCTTGAACTGGCAGTGAAAAGTTCTGCGTGAAGGGTTATAAAACAATTAAGATTGGTCCGAGAATTGGTGAAGGTGTTATCAGCATTCTTATCTTTTAATGACTCCTGTGTGTTCGTAGATCTATTTCCATTTTCTTGTGTTTTTGTCAGCATGCTTGTATTTCTTTTTTTAATATATATATATATATATATATATATATATATATATATATATATATATACACGTGTTCCACTTACTGAGGAAAACCCCAACATGCCCGGTGTGTTTTAGACCGTTCGGCCAGAGCAAAACAAAGTCAAAGCAAAGTACATCTCTTGTTTTAATTCCCTAAGACTGATGGCTGCTAAACTTCATTCTCGTATTCGAAACATAAACAAAATATTTTCTAGGGAATGAATGAGTTTTATTTATCATTCGATATTACTTCTTAATACTTTAAACGTTTTGTTTTTCTCTTTAGCAATTTAAATTTATGTCTACCAGACTGTGTATTTGAAAGTCTTAAGAATGAGAATATATCTTCCGGCTGAGTTCGAACTTCCGTCCTCCTTATACATATAATTTGATTGCAGCCTGCATCTTCCCGTGACTTAGCAATCTCTAACTGTGATAGTTAAGAAAATAAATCAGCGTATCGATTCGAGTTGATTTAAATTTGTTCGTCAGGGAAAATGCCGCTGAATATCTTCATTCTCTCTCCTTTTCTCGAATCTCACATAACCGATGTCTCCACTCAATAACCGGCGATTTGAAATTTAATATTTTATTCTTCGATTACGTCACACATATTCCGGAAGTGACGAGTCACGTATCTACCAATTTAGGTCAACAAGGTTCAATTACAAACAGCGGCCTCGTAGCACGTTAAGAGATTTTCACGTGATCTGCACGGATTTCTGTCATTAAATATCGATCTTGGTAGAAATATTCAATCAGATTCGGAAAATGTGAAACTCTAGTGGTTTTGAAACGATTCACAAGAATTATTTAACACGGTTGCGTTTGTTGTTTAAATTCAGTTTGAATTTTATTTTAATCTGTTTTTTCTTTTTATTAAACGTTTTATTTTATTTTCATCTGGTATTTTTTATTAAACTAACTTCAATACGACATCAAGCTGTCACCAAGAAATGAAGAGAAAAGGAAGACTGTGTGTTACGTCGAGCTTTTTTACTCGCCTCATGGTACGCGATGAAAAATAAAACGCTACTTCTAGCAGCTATGATTTTTTATATATTTGCATATGATTTTACAAATATTTCATATAGTGTACATTTTGAATTGCATTCAAGTTTACCCTGAACAGAGGATCTATTTCAGAGACTGTATCTCTTCTTAATAAACAACTAAAATGAACACATAACTTGTATGACCATGCAGAGCGGCAAACTCATAGACAAATCGTCTATTAATTGCAGCCTTGGGTAAGAGTAAGCTGAATTTAATAGTCACTTGGCAAAGTACATAAACATTTTCGAGCAGAATTTGTAGGGAATTGGCATAGGCACTGGAAATCCACCATCTTCAGATCGTATCAGCGTATTTCCATTTAAGGGGAACATCCTGATGTCTGTGGTTAATGCCAATATAACATGGTTATTACTTTTAAGAAATCTATATTCAACTAATTCTGTCTATGATATTCTTTGAGAGGAATTCTCTTGAGGGTTTTCAGTCTCCTTGAAGAATTCCTAGTGTATTAGGTACTTATATCGACCTATGAAACATCATAAAAGAAATCAAGAAACATTCTTTCCAGTTTGTTTTTTCCTGATATATTTGTTTTTTTTTAGGCTTGTCTGTGCTCTGATGAATGTTAGACAATTCTATTCTCTTTGTGCCACAGTTTTTAAATTTCTCTCTGAACATGGCTTCATCGCATTGCATTACACAGTATGAAATGGTTGTGAGTGTATTACCAGAGTTATCCCTGAATACAACATGACTACAGCATTTATTAGTGCAATAATTGGTATGCGGTGCATATTGTTCTAATTTCTCTTTGCCTTTCGCTATGTATGCATACGTATATATTCATCCATATGAAAAAAAAAAAGGTTAAAAATTTAAATGCAAAAAAAAAAAAAAAACGGTTAAAAATAATGGAAGCATTAAAAATAAAAAGAAACCAACTTTTAATAATATTAACTGTGAACACGGACAAAACGTCCTGACCGTATTCGAAAATTTAATCCTTATAGATACATATGTATAAAAAATCTACATATTCAGATAAAAAAGAAAAACAAAAGCATCCTAGATAATTGCTAATAGATTAACCCAGTGTTTCTCAACCTTTTTAAGCAATGGAACACCTAGAAGCAAATGAAAATGTCACGGCAAACTTATGAAGATTTCAAAATTATATTTAATTATTTTTAATTTATACATTTAAATGTTATGAGATAAAACAACAGATTTAAAAAATATACACACACACACATATGAACTTACTTTATTTCGATGTTTCTATTCAACTACTTGTGTAGTTTGTCTAATAAAATAATAATGCTGTACCATTGCTACTTCCACACACACATACACACATATATATGTATGCCGTAGCAATATTTCGCGGGGCATTTAAGAGGATCGTGCGGCACACTAGTGGCTGAAGATCATTGGATTAACTGAAAGCGTTCGACTCTATGTTCGGAAAAGAAAATACTTGCACGAATGCAAGAAAAAATTAATAAAAAGCTTAATCATATTGACTTGTCTATCACCTTTAAGGAAACTTGTTTAAAAGGGGGATTAAAAATGACGGGCCATATCAGTCAACTTGCTGTATAAAACTAATATACATAGTTCTAAATTAAGGTTTGAATTAAGGTCTCTTTCATTAAACTAATTTGGAATCGAATTAGACTGCTCTGCCTAAAACAACAAATCATATCGGTCAATTTAATATATAACCCAATATAAAAAGTCCAAATTTTAAAGGAAGAATTCTCGGCCAGGCCAGCCGTTTTAAGCTTACTACTACCCAGCCACTAATTCCTTAACCATTTCTTTCCTACCCACCTATATCCCAACTCTTCTCTCTTGCTTTTCCTCCCCTGCTATCAATCTAATATACCCGTCCAGTGCATTGTCTCCATTTACGAAGGAGATTTCGATCTGAAGAGATGAACATTTTTGTGTTCACGAAATAAATTATAATTGAAATGAATAATTAAAGTTTCCTTCTTTGTTATTATTATCATTATAATGCTCTGTAGTCTACATTGAGCTCTCAATGGATTTATATTCCTCCTTGGAATTATCCCTACCAGTCACAAACTGGTAATACTTATATATATATATATATATATATATATATATATATATATATGATTTCACATATGAACTCAACATCAATAACAGAATCCCATTGTTAGACGTACTACTCGATTCGAATAATGATGAAAGAAAACAAATAAAATATAGCAATTGACTGAACCTCATGTCTATTCAAGTATTATAGTAAATAACCACACAGGTACAAAATGGCGATGATGAATGATAAATGAAGCGCATTTAATATCCTCTACACGCACAATATTATATAACGAACTCAAAAAATATCAAACAGAAAATAACAATGCGTTCCCTAATCATATAATAGACAGATTGATTAAACTAACGTTAGAAAAAATAAAAAGTAGCAATAATACTGTTGAGGAGATGAACACGCCTCTGCTAAATATAACTTGGACTCGTCCAAATAGCATATTTCTATGCTTACTACAGAATTCAGTAAGATGACGTCGACTCCAAGTGACATTATATTTCATGATTGTGTTATCTTTATTGAATGGAATGAAGGCATAACAAATACAAATAATTAGTACAATTTACACACCAATACACATTGCCAATCGATAAAAACAAACTCGACTTTTACCAAAACAAACTAAAATCTCTGACATGATCGACAGAACGAAATAAAATGAATCAAATCTTCAACGAAGCAATGAATTAGCTTTCCCACTTGAAGAAAGTCTTTCATAATAATAATTCAAACAACACATACATTGTTTACACAAACACTACATTACCAAGTCGGTTAGCTTGACATTTATCTGACAATAGCTCAAATTGATTATCACCAATCAATATAACAGTATATGAAGAAACCCTGACAAATACTTTTCAGTAGCACAACAATATTACACCATATTGTAAAAGACAAAACAAAACAAAAAGAAAACGTGAAGACGCGATAGTTAAAAAAAACTCAATCTATCGATACGTAAAGAGGCAACAGTCAAAAAATAGCAAATGCATACCTCAGTAGGTAGAATCTTATCAACTCTCAACAAGTAATGGTTTCTCAACAATTGCTGAAAGCGCCCAGAAGATATTAAACAATTTATGTTCAAAATCTCTCCAGAAACCAGAATGATGCGAAATCAGAGAAAAAAAATGAAAAAAAAAAGAAAAAACTTAATCTTTCCTTGGTCTTAAACCAGATTTGCATCTATCTATCTATCTATCTATCTATCTATCTATCTATCTCAGGATGTTTAGATCTATCTATCTATCTATCTATCTATCTCAGGATGTTTAGATCTATCTATCTATCTATCTATCTATCTATCTATCTATCTATCTATCTATCTATCTATCTATCTATCTATCTCGTTCGAATCTTGCCGGGCGGAGCATAATAAGATTTATCGAATATTCAAGTCGGTAAACGAAAATCGATGCATATACCGCTTAATAAATAAGCGGAACGTCTACTCAAATATGAGTATCCCCTAAAATGACTGTCTCTGATGAGATAGTGTTCACAAGTTCTCGGTCTGACCAAGAAAGTATTCTTTAAAAAAAATCTTATTTTTAATTATTTGAAAAAATCTTTGGAAGTGGGTGGCACTGAGAACTTTTCAGCATTCACACACACACACACACACACACACACACACACACACACACACACACACACACACACATGAGATAACGTTGCATAACTTTATATATCTAGAACAGTATTGGGGAAACTGTATGACAAAGTGGAAAAAGTTTTAAAAATGCTACTCTGATCAAATAAGGTAATAGTTCACAATGAAGTAAAGGTCTAGAGATTGCCTTAATCACAGAGTCATCTACACTAAATTTACGACCTGGCTCTTACAACATTTTTACCATTCCTGGCACATTTTCTAATATCACAGTGTAGAATAACTGCTTACAAGTGATGAAAATAAATAGAAAAGTAATTCGGCTAGATATAAAAAAATAGAAAAAATTCTAAAATCGCCAGCACTCCTCGCTTTTGCGCATGTGTAGTTATACCAACATAACAAACGCTTCACAAGTAAACTTTTTCCACTTTGTCATACAATTTTACACACACACACACACACACACACACACACACACACACACACATATATATATATATATATATGTGTGTCCGTCTAGGTCGACCGTTGTTGGGATCAGCGAACCAATGCGAACGATTCTTTCTTTAGCTGTATAGTACGTGATATGCCAGGCCTATGTACAATGTTACTTTCTCCTAGACCGGTTGCCACCCAAAGCTATAGAACCCAGTCTGTTCTGCTATTTATTCATAGCTGGGGGGCGGGGGTGGAGAAGATGAGGATTCATACCTTTCTTAAGAGTATTAGCACGTAAGTGAATTCAAATGGATTCGACTGGAATTCGAACTCGGCTCTCCGCTTCCTCAATCCGAGCCGATATCCATTACTCCAACGGGCCTCTTCCTCCTCCTCTCTCTATCCCCCTCTCTCTGTATTTGTATGTCTGTTTGTCTATCTGTCTGTCTGTCTGTCTCTCTATATATATACATATAAAGAAAGGAAGAGAGAGAAAAAGAAATAGAAAATTGCTTTAATCATAGTGTGGTGTTGGTGTGTGTGTGTGTGTTGGGGGAGAGAGAGAGACACAAAGAAAGGAATAATGAGAGAGCAAGAGAGTGAGAGGTGGGGAAAGAGAGTAGGAAAAGGAAAGTGAAAGCAGGTGAAAGAGAAAGAGTGGAACAGAGAAAAAAGATTAAGAGAAAGAAGAGAATGAAAAAGGTCGACAGAATGATCGAATAAAATAACGATATAGAATCTAATCATTGACACCAATTATATTATCAAAGGTTTTGTAATGTCGGATTAAGTGCATTAACGCCGGATCAAGTGCATTAACGCTTGTCATGAGAATGACAAAAATCTGCTTCAGGCTTTGTTCTTAAAAAAAATCTAAATCACGTAATGATGCGTGACAGTCTGTTCAATTTTATAGAAGTCCACTTGCATATTTTGATGTTCAAAAAGTAATGCATTGATTTGGCGGGATTTTTTTCCTTTTGCACATTTTAATGCATAACTAAAATTCGTGTGCATTTTCTAAGTAGATTTTTGTGTCCTTAAGTTGTTCAGTAAACATACACTTCTTGTACTGTCTAAAATCATAATATTTATTTATTTTATTACTTATATTTGGGTATAACATTACAGCCAGAGTGAGGTGGAGATATGGTTGGTCCGGCGTCGAGAATAAGGCTGGTGTAAGATCGAGTTTAGGGTTGAAGATGATAGTGCTGATATTGAGCTGGAATTAAAGTGGCTTAAGGGTGAGGATAGGGTTAGTTTGAAGGTAGAAATATATCATACTCTTACCCAATTCATCTTTCAACAAAAACAAAGCATTTTCCCTTTGAACTTTGACCCCCAAAATTTGTCTCTTCCATTTCCTATTAAAAATTCCCGCGTTTATTCAGCAAAATCTTAACTATCATTTTATTCGCTGCTTACTTAGTTTGACGCAAGGTCATCTATGTGGAGCACTGAGGTAAGAACTTGCTAGAAGAGTGAAGGTGTCTTTATCGATATTTACTGTGTTTAGTGTCATTCGAAACAGCAATCTATTGGCTCTCTACTCACCATTCTACGACGGGCACAGGCATGCTTAACTATTTGGTAGATAGCTGTGAGTAAAAGGTACACACTATCAATGTCCTTTGAGTAATACTTGCATATGTTTGTGATCGAGCATAGAAAATCTACTAATTTACATATATAAATTCTCGGGAAGATCGAATTCCAGTTGAGTTCTTTACATTCACTTGTAGGCAATTACCCTTGGGAAAGCTAGGGATCCGTCTGTTCGTCTCCCTCTAGCTATAGGTTAATTAGTAGAGCAGACTGGGCTCTTTAGAAACCGGTTAAAGAGAAGGACTCTGAATTCGAAAGCTAAGGAGGGCTTTTGGGGGATCCCATGACACATTATGGGTGTCAGTTCTCTGTATTCAGTTCGTCCGAAAGGCGTGGTTGATTCTACACAAGACTTCAAAATTATAATCAAATCGTATGTGCGGATAGTCTGTCTTTTGAATCCGAAGAACTGAACAATTGGACCCTTATACATTGAAGACAATAGAAAAGCCCATCATTGTCTTTAGTCAAGTCCTTTTCTCATGAAACAATAATGGAGTCCCATTACGGCTGTTCCTGCTGACATTATCTCCACCGGGCGGAACGTGATGAAAGCCACATGATTGTTGACAACTGTAAATTGGCTGGCAACGCATGCAATGGCAGAACCGCCCTTATTCACCTGCAACTGCAGAAGGGCCCATGAAAAGTTAGACTTCAGAAAGTGTGTGTTTGTGAGAGAAGAGTTGGGGAAAGAGAGAAACCTTCATTTGACATTTTGGTAGGGAGACTAGTAGAGAGACAGGACTGACTCCTGGAATCACTGCAATATCAGGCCAACCCGTGGAAAAGGCGGAGCAAGCCCCTAACTCTTTGCCATGTTCCAAAAATCAGTTTAATATCGAAGTTTTACTTCAGGGACGGATCAGTTAATAAACGGATAAGAACAGATACTACACTTTGATCTTAATATATATTGACAAAATTGGCGGTTTTTCTGGTGGGTTGGCGACACGCTTCTACGAGCCAGCGCAAGGAGTCGACCCTGAGAACTGGAGAGGCAGCTGTAGGGCAGGTCTCCTATACCGGGTTTCTGGTCATCATGCACCTCCACCATAGCAACTCTCAAAGCCTGTTTATAGCTTATAAGGTGTGGCAAACCTAGCCCCCTACGACGTGGGTGTAGAATGCAGACTTCCTTGCAACCATTGATCGTCCTCTCACCCAGAGCAGTTTAGAGTGGAGCTGCTAGAATTTGGTCAATTCCTTCGCTGTGATGGGAAGGACTGATAGTCTGTACAGTATCAGAGGGTAGATATAAGTAACACACACGTCTGCTCTGCCCTTCTGAGACAAATTCCTGTGGAGTCATGCATTCACCTTGTTGTCAAGCTTGAATTACACTTCTGCCCAGTTTTTCTCGAGCTGGAGATCGGTTCCAAACCACATCTCAAATGTTACCATGCTCGACGGACTCGCATCTATTCATTTTGGCCACCTCACTCGCTCATAGCGCTGAATGTCTGCTCTTACTCGTCTTATGTCCCGGCAGCTGGACACGCAGACGGTGATGTCATCAGCGTAGTCAGACACGAGAAGCTTTGTCTGAACAAAAATCCCCATGGCACCCGCGCGCGGCAATGAACGACGGCAACCGAGCAAGGCCTCAGTGTTCATCGAGACGATCCTAGAAAGGAAAAACGCCAATTCTTGAGGATCACACACCCAACCATTAAGAATATTTGGCCAAAACGCCAAAGCGTGTAACGCCTCAGCATACCAGAAACTCTTCGCACTCTGTCCCCGCTCAATGATAATGGCCAACCTCACTTCCCCATGTGTGAGCAGTTATTTGCTTTCATACTGGAAGCCTGAAGTCTTTCGTCATCTGGTTAACACCCCACCACCTCTGTCTCGTGGTGTATGTGTGTGATATGTACCCCCCACTACGCTTTTGTAAATTTTGAGACATACCCATCGATACGTAAAACAAGAATTTTATGTTAAACTTTAGAAAAAAAAATCGAAAAACTCAGTCATATCTATGTATTGGACTCTCCTGATGACGTAGAAATTGAATCGTGTGTTGTTTGTGTTTCAATGTCTTTTGTTTTTTTTAAGTTAAAAATTGAAGCTACTAACGCGAATGTGCTTAATGGCACAGTATTTCTATCCTCGAAATATTGATTTAACGGAAGGTTTTAAAATTAAATAAACATCTAAAGCAAGATATGTTTATATGTATATAGTAAAAATTACTTTTATCTATAGTAATTGTTTTTATTTACAGCAAGGAAATAAGACAGAAGAACACTAATTATCTTTACTTAATTTTACAATTTATGTTTTTAATATTCACGGATATTGAACAGAAAAAAGAAAATGGAGAATCACATAATTTTTTTTAAAGAAAATGTAATTACAAAGTTATTCCTTTTTGCTAGCATGTGTAAAATAGTATTTACAGAAATTGTATGCACAGATTATTGCAATTAGTGGCTACTGTAAATTATAAAGGCAATATTGTATATGTTTTCGTTTAACTCTGGTTTTTGCAATTGAGTTCAATGAATATTTTACAGAATTTTTCATATCTCTGGCACACCATGCAATTTAAAAATATTATTACTGCACCGTCTGACCAATGTTCAGTGTTCAGTAGGATTTGACCAATGGTGTTCAAAAATCCGATCAGATTCGACTGATCGCAATGGAAGCGTTCGATTTGTTCAGACGGAGGCAGTTGCCTTGGTAGCAAGACTACTGTCAGTTGTTGGTCTCGGTCCGGTGCTATAAAGCGTCTAATCCCACGGCTTTTTACTTTTCAAGCCAGTCAACATTGTCTTATCTAATTATTCAGGGATTATGTTAACAAAATAAATACCACCGAGATAAAAAAAACAAAAAACAGTAACAATAGTCTGCGAGATTTACTTACTTAACGACATCTGACCTACGGATATAAATAACAAGCTTTGAGGATGCAAAAATAATTTTGCATAATTACAACAATCGAATGTTATGTTAAGCCGTACACCTTCTCTTTCTAAGAATTTTGAATTATTGTTTATTTGAATTACAAATAACTAATGCTAATTTTGCACATCTACTTTAATCTTTGCCTGATGAAAGGAATAAAAAATCCGATATATATATATATATATATATATATATATATGTTGACATCACAAATATAATAGCATCAACTACATGCAAAAAAAAAGGCTAAAAATAATGGAAGCCTTATTAATAAAAGCAAAAAACAAAAAACAAAACAAAAACAAGACAGCATTTAATATCAACTATGAACATGGACACATAATCTTGACGGTGTTTTGAAAAACATTATATAAATACATACATGCAACAAACTATTTCTTAGTTAACAGTTAAAATATCTCATCCTTGAAAATGGCTAAATGTATAGCCGAAAGCGCTCGGATTAAAAGAATATTCGGACAGTTTTTATATAATTTATCATCTGAAAAGAAAACATTATTAGATCGAATGAGAAATTGTATAAAAAACTAAATCAAAGCACCTTGTCTGTCATAGTCAATGAAATGTGCATGAAAGGAGGATTGCTGCCTAAAAACGCAAATTTTAAATATATATATATATATATATATATATATATATATATTGGGGAAAATATAAGAAAAGTGTAAAATTTTTCTTGTGTTGCGTTTCGTTGTTTAGGACTTCAACGGACTTGTTACGCTGGAGGATGCGCACGAACAAGGGATGCTGGGATTTTTTATTTTTAATTTAGCAGTGATAGAAATAAAAAGACTCTAAATGAATTTGGCTAGATAAAAAAAAAAATTCTAAAATTCCCAGCACCCCTCGCGCATCTATAGTCTTACCAACATAACAAATTTAGAAGGACGAACCTTTTTCCACTTTATCATAAAATTTCCCCAATACTCTTCTTGATATATCAAATATCGTTATCTCATATAATTGTATATTTAGCTAACAATCCCTTCAACAAGACGAACAAGCTACTTTTTTAAAAAATCTTTTTCTTATGTACATACAGGCGTGTCTTTTTTTCTGAATTTACTTTGTGTTGAGAACACAAAAGTGATACGTACCTCCAACTGGAAGCCCTTATTATTAAAGGCAAGGACCCAACCCTTAATTACATTCATTATTAACATGGCCACAATGTAGTTAGAAATTAAGAATATATTTAATTTCAGCAACATTTATACCGTCTCTGGAATAACAATGCACATCATTTATTATATCAAAACGATAATTCATGAAATTTAGAGATCATCCCATTTAGCAATCAATAAATGGAAAACGACCTAATGTAAATGTCATGTGGTCTGTGCGAAATTTCAATATTTTCCTTTCTCTTTCAAATATATCGAAATCCTTAACATGGTTACTTCTAATTTGACAAGAAAGAAAAAGGTGTACCTGTGCACGGGACACCATCTGTCAACCATAGCAACCCTGTGATAGCGAGCTTCTTGAAAATGGCCAATTGATCAGGTGGAACGACAGGCGATTTTGAATAAATTTGTAGTGATTTTATAACATGTTTATGTTAGAATTTTCGAATAAATTATATTTAGTCTACTCTTTATTGAGCACTCTTTTAAGAATAACATTTTTGGTTATTGGAATTTATTCCGTATACAGTAATCCTATACTTGTATTCTTAAGACTATGTATATGTATATATGGATGGACGTGTAACTGCGCCTAACCTCAGATTATTTATATAGGTGTCTTTGTATGAACTAAAATACATACACCTGTATGTATGTGTGTCTATGTATGCGAGAGTGTCATCCCACAAAAAACACAGAAGATAATCCCCCCTCCACGACACACAAATAATCAAACACAAATAAGCATAAATAGACCAATTTTTGAAAAAATAAACCAGTTTGTCTGATGATCGCAAAAGCGTGAAACCTAGAGTTACAAACTAATATCCATGCAACTGAATATATATATATATATATATATATATATATATATATATATATATATATATATATATATATAGAGAGAGAGAGACAAAGAGAGAGAAAGTATATGAGATGATGTAAAAAATGGATACAGAAATTAGTAAATCGTTTATTTTGACGTACATATAGATAAGAGTTCAACGTTGTCACCTCGTCATAAAACAATTAAACAATTTCGTGCTCTGCCTACCATGTCTGATCGTCAAGTTGAAGTAAACGAATTCAGAACGAGGCTTGCTTGGCCTATCATTGATTATTTCCCTTTCTTCCTCGGCCATTTTTAGCTAAATTCCAGTTTGTTACAAGAACTATCCGGCAATATAATTTGCTAGGAAAGTCTGGGGCAACTGAGAATTGCTTAGATTACACAGTAGATACAAATGATGTTGGGACAGAAAAAACATATTTGTATGAAAAGCAAAGAAAGAAATAAGAAGAAATTAAAAAAAAAAAAGATTCAAGTAAAGGAGAAATGAAATCGAATGTTAACCAAGTGGATATTTTGTGGACGTGAAACAAGTTTATTAGTTTACCTACTGAATATATCACGAGGTGGTCCGTAACGGGTTAAGCGTGCGTAAAAAAATGGCTGAGATTATACTGAGTGTGTAAATGCATTTTAGTCTTTATCGAGGTTGACAATCGGTCTAACAAATTATTGAAGTTATTTATATCTCTGCTGTTTATTTGTTCCAATGCCTCCTCCATTTTTCCTTCATCAGTCAGGATTTCTTTTTATGTCATTTGATGATGGGAGTGCAGGGAGAAGTGGGTTCATGTCATTACCAAGTCCTTAGATGCGGACACACACACACACACACACACACACACACACACACACACACACACACACACACACATATATATATATATATGAATAAAAACAGACAAAAGGACCAAGAGGTAAAACTATACTTAGCCGACGCTTTTCGCCCTCTGAAGTATTTTATCAACGCAATGTAGGGTTAATTTTGTTGCATGTGTTTATATACAAAAGCGAGGATGTCATTGGTTTATCAAGGCTTTTAAATTTGAGAACGTTCATGAATGTTGAATGGTTGAGAGGTTTAAAAGGTTAGTAAAAACGTGTGGAAGACACAAAGCGTCTTAATTCAAAATATAAAATCAAATATCATAATATAAATCTACGTCACGGTTTTTTCCCAATCTTACCTTTCCTGAAAGAATTACTACTTTCCTAAGCCAACATACACGACCACAAAAATGTTGAAAAATCAAAAGAAAACGTTTAAATCCATGACTTCATGTTTTTGAACATGCACAACATACAAGTCCATCTGAAACCATAACAGTCGAATCACAATTTAAACAATATTCATTGATTAAAAAAAAAAGAACAAATATTTCTTGAATATTATTCACTTATTTTTGCTTTACTAGGCTTCGAATTAGGGTATTTTGTGTCCTCCATATGTCATATATAAGGCCATGAATCTGGAGCACCAAGTAAGGGTTGAATTAGCGGCGAGAGTAAATAGTTTACACAGCTATTTTGTCCCTTTTTCTGCCTCTCGATTGGCAAACTTTATTTTCTTGTTATTGTTTTTCTCGAAGTAAAAAAAAGAAAATCTTAGCCATGACTCACTCGATTTTTTCAAAGCAAAATGTCAGCTCAATTAAGTGAAAATTAAT